GGATAGGTGGAGAGGACTTTTGATACAGAGTCAAGAAAACAAAGAAATAGGAATTTACTTCTTAGTGTTTGGTTTCCTAAGCCAGGCATTTCTGCATCTGAGTACATAATCTTACAGTATACAGAAATTATTTTGCTTGTTTTAGAGGTTTTCTTCTCTAAAAAAATCATTTTTAAATTATAAAAATATTTGAAAAGTAAGCTGGCCCCATTGCCTAATGGTTAAGGGAGCTGGATTCCACATGACTGACCATGGTTTGAAATCCTGGCCCTCGCGGCTCCTTTCTACCATGTTGTTAAGTGAGGCTAAATAGGGAACTGGCAATGTTTGTCTGGATATATCTACTGACCCGAGGTATTCCTAGGTTCCGAAATCTCCTACTAGATATCACACTCATGCTTTATTTCAATAAATATTAATGTGCTACACACTCCCTTGTTAATTTAATGTATTAAGATAACCTTGAAGGATTATAGGTAATGTCATTAAGTCAATTTTAGTGGGGATAATTATAATAATGATAGCGCTTCTAGCTACTATTTATTGACATTTCTTTTGTGCTAAGTACTGAGCTAGATTCTTCATGCATTCTATTTAAGTTTGAAGAAGTTTCTTAGTCTATCTGGGCTGCTTCTTACAGAATACCATAGTCTTGATGACATAAACAAAATAAGTTTAGTTTTGCACACTTTGGTAGGCTGGGAAGTCCAAGATGAGAGTGCTGGTAGATTTTGGTGTCATGGTGGCATGCTTCCTAGTTCCGAGACTGCTATCTTCTCGCTGTGTTCTCATGTAAAAGGGACAAGGGAGCTCCCTGGGTTTATTTTATTATCCTATTCATGAGGGGTTCACCTTCATGACCCAGTCACTTCCCATAGACTCACTTCTAGATACCATCACATTGGAGATTAGATTTTTTTTTTCTTTTTTTTTTTTTGAAGAGGTTTTTTTGCTATAGGATGCGAGCGCTCGCCAGACAGACAGAGACAGACAGACAGAAAGCGAGAAATCACCCCCCAGGGGGGATGGCCACATTGCAGTCCCTTCTCCTCCATTCTCCTCTTGGGATTTTAGGCACGCATGCACACATGCCTGGTGTGAGTTTAAGCCACTGGGTCCAGGACTCGAACTGCGGTCAACTACATGGGAGTCCAGCGACATAGCCATTACGCTAACTGCTGGTCCCTGGAGATTAGATTTTAACATATGTATTTTAGGAAGAAACAAACATTTGGTATATAGCAAGAAATTATGATCCTCGCCATGTTTTGACTGAGAAAGACCAAGTTGTAAAACTGGCATGTGAACTCAAAACTTATTTATTTTTTAAGGGTTTCATCATAGGGTTTGTATGCTTGCTAGACAGACAGAGAAACAGAGGGAAAGCCACTGGATCCAGGACTCGAACTGCAGTCATCCATGTGGGAGCCCAGTGCCTTAACCACTACTCCATCTTTTGGCCCTAAATCCAAAGTTTATTAATACCAAATTAAAGCAACCTTTCTAATGAATACTTATCAGGACAGGTGTTACTGGAATGACTAAAACAACAACTTTATGTTATGTAATAATTTATTATGATTGCTATGGAATTTTTGTTTTACTATTTCTAGATCTATGGTACTAGAAAAATGATGCATATATTTCTAGCTAGCTTGTTAGAAAGTGAATTTGAACTATCATGTACTTGTCATATTATTTCTTTTGTCTAATTATGTTCATGACATTAGTTTGTGGAGATTCAGGATCAGGAAAAATTTCCTCCAGAAAATTGCCTTTGGATACGGAACAAAATGTTCTTAAATATAAACTGAAACATTATGGGATAAAGGGGCCTCATGTAAACAACCTACTCTCAGATGGTTCAGAGAAAAGAAAGGAAAGATGGAAAGGAGGGATGGATCACGTCGTTTCTTTAAGAGACAGGCAGAATAAAAAGACAAATGTGGCAAAATGTTAAGGGTTGATAAAGGATAAATTGAAATTCTTTGTCTTATCGTAATGTTTCTATAAGTTTGGAATTATTTCAAAATAAAGCAATAAATCAACAAGGCAAAATAATTACTTTGTCGGCAGGCAGGATATAAATTGGACAGTGAGTTTAAGACACGTTTCTCTTATCCTGCGTTTGAGTCAAAGCAATACAAATGTAATGAGTATTGCCTGCGTTAACTTCAGTTTTTACTGGAAATACATTGCAACATTGAAAAATACATACTTTTATGTCATTCCCTGTGTTAACAGTTTATACAAAGCTGCAGTTATGCAGAGCACATGTAGCTTATCCACTCTAGGACAACTGACAACACAACTGTGGATGTCTGCCCTGTGACCCACGCCTGTGACATAAGAAGAGTTGCTGATTTTTCAGTTTGCTCACATACGTACTTGTTAGGACATTGTTAAAACTGGCTCCTAAAATACCAGACCAGAAACTGGACCTGTACCACTCTGTTCTTTGCCCTGCAGCTACAGTGTTCCTCCAAAATGCAAATCCGATGATGGCATATTTCTCTTTGAATGTTCGGCTAACTTTAGCATAAAATCCAGACTCCATAATTTGGATAACAAGGTCTTTGTTATCCAACCTTAGGTTACCTTTGTCTGCTAATCTTTTACATTTCCACTCTTATGCCATGCTGAGCCACTTACAGGTCTCTCACTTTTCAGTGTTCAGTGTTCTTTCTCTCTCCCTTACTACCTTTTGTCTCTCTGGTCACTAAATTTTTAGGTCTTGGCTTAGAAACCATTTCCCCTGGCACAGCCCACCTGGACTCTCAGAAGACCTCTTCATCTCACCTTCCTTTGTGCCTTGTGGTGTAGGATCACAGCTAGTTAGCAGAGCACATACAGTTATAGGCGACACGTATAACTTATTGGCAGCCTTAAATACTTAATATGCTTGCAGTAATTATGAAGGAGACCTTAGAGCTTATGCTAGCGGTGTATCTGTTTGATAATTAAGCTCTCATATGTGGAAAAGTTATACTATTGGGTTTTTTTTTTTCATTTTTTTCCATTTTAATTTTTTTGGAGAGGTTTTTGCTATAGGGTGTATACACTCGCCAGAAAGACAGAGAGAGACAGAGAGACAGAAAGCGAGAAATCACCACCTGGGGGCGGGGTGTGTGTGGCCACGCCACCATCCCTTCTCCTCCATTGCCCTCTCGGGATCTTGGGCACACACGCACACACAGCCAGCGTGAGTTTAAGCCATGGGGTCTGGTACTCGAACTGCACTCGACTGCATGGAAGTCCAGCGACATAGCCATTATGACAATTGCTGGTCCCAGTGTTTGTTTTGTTCTTTGTTTTTTTTTTTTTTTTTTTAAAGGATATAGAATCCATTTATTTGAAATGTTCACTTTCTCAGCGTAAGTGAAGTCAGATCAGCAGATCTGTAAACCTAATTAGCTACTTGCAGGAATTAGTGCTCACCCAAACAATTCTCATTGAATTCCCAGGAAGTCCTTTCTCCCAAATATTTGAAAGCCTGGAAAAGATCATTTAAATTATTAAATTTACGTTGTGACTTATGTAACAACCTCATGTGCATTTGATTAGTGTGAATTAGAGGCTACTGTCCTGTCCTGTGGATACGCTAAATCTAATTTTGAACTTAAAATGCGTGTCAAAGTTAAATACTGTTTAGAGATCACAATTACTATTATTACTAACTAGTTATTATTAAATATGTTGCGTGAGGATTACTCTGAAGTGCTACTTCTTTGTCACAAATGCTAAGGCAAAGATAGTGTGTCCCTTTCTTCTTTGTCCCCTTCCCCATGACACCCAAGTGCATGTGATGGTGCATTTAATATACTTACAGTGCTATTTCACTCTATAATTGTGCACTCAGTTGTTATGTTTCTCAATTCTGGATAGATACAGGAAATCTAAGCTGTTGTTAATGAGATTGTAATTCTGGGGCTCTTGATTGTTTGCTCTTGATTGTTTGATTTGATAACAGGACTTGTTGAGTTTATTTCTTAAAAATCTATATTCGGGCCCAGCAGATGGTATAATGGTTACACCACTGGATCCCTATGTAGTTGAGCACGGTTTGAGTCCCAGACCCGGCGGCTTAAAACTCACACTGGGTGCCTGTGCATGTTTGCCCAAAATCCTAAGAGAAGAATGGAGGAGAAGGGATTGCTACATGGCCATTCCTCCTAAGGGTGGAGGGCGATTGCTCACTTTCTGTCTCTCTGGCAAGCGCATGTGCCCTATAGCAAAAATCTCTCTCTCTCAGAAAAAAAAAAATTATATTCAGATATTTTTGATGGTCAATAGAAATGTGATCAAATTAAAGGTACTGTGTCTACTGTTGATTTTTGTGATTGATCTTGGCATATAAACCAAAGGAAAAAATAATATGCTTTAATTTCCTTTTTCTCCAGAAATGGGGGTTGGGGTAAATACCTACCTACTGTTATGCTTTAAAAATATTCTTAATGTTTAAATATAATTAAGAAACATCAGAAATGTCTTATTTCTTATGGATATGTTAAGAATCTTTTGTTTGTTTCTTGTAGACTTACTTTAAGCTTCAAGGTTTGCATCTTATTCGGTATTTTCATTTCCAATTCCTGTCAATATATTTGCCATGCAGAATGCAAATATTGATTAAATTATATGCATAGGCAATTCTCTATGTATCTCATGATCTATTTATGTTACTTTACATCTTGCCTCCCAGCGCTTTTATACATTACACTCAGTTAGCATGTAAGTTTTGGAAAGAAACTGAGACTGATTCTACAGGAAAAGAAATTATTTGAATCTAGTAATTTTTGGATAAGATTCAAATGATTGAATCTCAAGATGCAAATTATTGAATTAATTATTGAAAGTATTAGTGAACTCTTAAAATATGAATTCTGTGTTTTGAAATAGACACAGTTTTTCTTCATTTATCATATAGAACCTTTCAAGAAATAATTGATACAGTATTTGAAGGTAGGCAGCAGATTTTTTTAAATTGTATTTTTTAAACTCAGTTCTTCAGGTGCTGGGAATGTGGCCGATCGTGTTTTGGCTCAGCTCTTAACGGAAATGGATGGGATTGAGCAGCTTAAGGACGTGACAATTTTGGCAGCTACGAACCGCCCAGATAGGATAGACAAGGTAAGAAGGAGGTATTGTGGGTGTTGTAAAGTCAAGAACTGGATCGTTTGATATCTATCTTTTCTTTTTTGGTGAAATGACCTTCTAATCAGCTTTTACTTAGAGGATATATAAGGATGTGAAGCAAGTTCACTGTGCACAGGTTACCAAGCTGCCTGTGTGTGGTGAGACAGAATGTTCATGTACACAGTTACATGAAGCAGTTTTATTACTGGTGTATAGGCCACACGGGACAGCAGAAACTTAGGAGTCATTGCAAGCCCATCCTCCAAGGTTCAAGAAAGCTGTTGAGGGCTCGAGTGGAATCTTGACTGCAAATGCCCCACTTGCACAGCAGCTAAGGGACCCTGGAAAGCAACCTGTCCTGGTTTTGAACACTGGGCAGTTGGACATGCTAGGATAATGCATTAGAGGACATCCTGTTTTTTGGGGGAGGGGGGTGTGATTTGAACAGAATCTCGGTTTTTTTTGACCAGTCCCTATTTTTCTCTGAGTGTTACATTCCCCACATATCCCACAGTTACTCTTGAGAATTAAAAGTAAGGAAAGGGGGAGAACTGGGGAGGCCCAAGGCCACCCAGGAACTTATCCTGCAAAGGATCTTAAACTAAAGGAAATCAAGAGAGTGAAAAAAAGCTTTTATTACATTTTTTATTGTTTACAGTTCCATATTAATGAAACTATTAGGTCTTCAGTAAAGTCATAATGTATTTTTCTGTGTTTTCCTGTGCAAAAATGCATCATGACTTTCCCAACTACCAATAGTTTGTAGCTCTTCAATATTCCCTGTCGTGTATTGCATCAAACTTTCAGCGTATTTCTCTAGGGAATTGAAGGCTTGAGATATTATGTTTGTTCCATCTAATTTATTTTTCTTGATAATTTTCAACATTTTCACCAGTATTAGGTTAATTTCTAGTGATTGAGTACTAGGCAGACTCAAGTTAACAACTTGATAACTTTCTAGAACTCCTAGCATTATTTTCAAAACAATTAAAATGATGGATTTTATTTTCTTAAGAAGTTACTTAGGCTATGACATTAAGTTAGGACAGATAAAAAAGTTAATCCTTTCAAATTATTATTGCTATAATTTTTTCCCAGGTCATGGTTCAGTAAAGGAGTTTATTAATTTCAGTGCTTCATTATGGTTACTATATAATTTTTATAAAGATTTAAATCAAGAATAAACATTTCAGAGCATAAGCCTTTCTCATTATTTTGTGATTATTAGCATTTTTCCCTCATAAATGACCTTATGAACTACTTCCTCCTTGTATGTATAAATATATAGAAATACACACACACACACATACATTCAGTTTTAAAAAATATGATTTTAAAATAACCATCTCTTTTGAAGATGTGAAAGAAGCTTTTCTATGAGAAGAAAGCCTTGCTTCAGTTCAGTTAGGTATTTTGCTGTGTGTAAAGACCCTTTTGGTCAAATGCAGGTAAAAAGCCTGGGAACTTAACAAGTCATTGTCTTACTGATGCAGTATTTTATTAGAAGCTAGCTGAGTTCTGAGCGTTTATGTAGTAGGATCTGGCTCAGTGCTGAGGCATCTCTGCATTTTTTAACTGAAATTGAAAGAGCCTTTAAAGATTACCTATTCCAACTTCTCCTTTTAGAAATAAAAGTACAGAATCCAGAAAAATCTTCCTTCTTATAGTACAAATACATTGTATTTTTATGATATTTGTTTCCTGGTGACCCCATAGTTAATAAACTCTAAAATTTCTTAATTTTCTTTTCTCATCAAAGCCTAATCTAATAGTAGACTTTGGTTTCCTAATGATGAATGTCCTTAATGTTAGCTGTAGCTATCAAAGTAGGAGTTAGGGCTTATAATAAAGTTTTTTGTGTTTATTTCTAAATCAAACTGTATGACTTAGCCTGGTTACTACAGTATTAGCTTGTTCTTGCTGTGTAACAAATTACCACAAGTTTAGCAACTTCACACAACATTATTAGCTCACATTTCTCTGCATTAGAAGATAGGCCCAGCATGACTAGGTTATCTTTTCAGGATCTTAACTAAGGGCTAAAGTGTGTTGGCTGGACTGCATTCTCACTGGAAGCTTGTGTTCCTCTTCCAAGTCCATGTGATTGTAGTAGAATTCACTTTCTTGTTACTGTACAGGGGAGGATTGAATTTCCTTACTTGATATTAATTAAAAGCCACTTTCAGCTCCAGGAGACTACCCATGTACCTTGTTACTCACACACACACACATACACACACACCCCCCGCTTTCAAAGACAACAGTGGAAAGACTCTATCATAGTTTCTCCTACTGTACTTTACATTGCTTTTGCCAGGAAAAATTCAGTCCCTTTTAAAGGTTTACTTAATTATATTGGGCTTGTTGAGGAAATAATTTCTCCTTAAAGTCAGCTGATTGAGCACCCATTTGTAACATGCTACTCAAGCGATGCTAAATCTGTTGGGTTGTCAGAAAAGTCATGATGTGGACCAGCAGATGGCTTAATGGTTATGTCACTGGACTCCCACATGTTACCATGTGCAGTTCGATTCCCAGACCTGGTGCTTTAAAAAACTCACATCGGGCACATGTGCATGCATGCCCAAAATCCTGAGAGGAGGGGAAGGGATTGCGGAAATCACCCTAGGGGGTGATTTCTGGCTTTCTGTCTTTGTCTTTACAGCAAGCACATGTGCACTATAGCAGAAATCTCTCTTAGAAAAAAAAAAAGAGAGAAAAGTCATGATGCATTTTTGTATAGAAAAATGCGTCATGAGTTTTCCAATGACTTACTATATGGAATATATAGAAGATCATGGGTTCAATTTCCCACTTATGCCCATAATCCTCACTGGCTAAATAAGACTGTAGGAGGGGATTGTGGGGCGAGATCCTGTTGAAAGTACTTGCATCCTGCCACCCTTTACCACCATCTCATGACCAAAAACAAGGTCTAAAAATTAAAATAGAAAAGTATTAATAAATTTAAACTTTTTTTAAAAAAAGAATACTCTTTTTTTTTTGGAGAGTTTTTTTTTGCTATAGGGCGCGTGCGCTCACCAGACAGAGAGAGACAGAGAGATGGAAAGCGAGAAATCACTCCCCAGGGGGATGGCCACACCGCAATCCCTTCTCCTCCATTCTCCTCTCGGGATCTTGGGCACACACGCACACGCTCCTGGCGTGAGTTTAAGCCACCGGGTCCGGGACTCAAACCGTGGTCAACTATGTGGGAGTTCAGCGACATAGCCATTACGCTAACTGCTGGTCCCCCTCCCCCCAAAAAAAGAATACTCTTGTTTTCATGTTTCTTTATGTAATACTTTATAAATCCATTATTGAGTACAGTGGTATTGTTGATATATAATCTCTTTTGCTTACTCTTACCTCTGTAAGGCCTAAATGGAACCCTACTTTCTGGGTGTCATAGGAAGGTTAATCTATTCTAGTTCTTATCGACACCTGATACAGAAGCCTTTAAGAAATGTGTTAGATAAACAGAGTTTGAAAATTATTCTTGAACTACTCTAAGATTTGGGGACAAATAAGTCTTTTCAAGTTCATTTTAGAATAAGTTAGAATTCCCAAAGTAATGGTAGATGACATTCATTCTCTTTAGGATACTTGAATTTTATGGAGTAAATGAAATTTAGGGCAGAACTTGTTTTCATGGGTGGGAGAGTGAAGGGGTTGAAATGATTCTTCTACATTTCAAGTTTTTGGTTTTTTTTTTAGTTTTTATGTATTTCTTGCCTTTTAATAATAGTTGCCATTAAAAGGTATATTCTATGTTTCATTAACAGCAACTTGTAAGTGACAGTCTTTAGATACAGAGTATGAGAAATAAAAGTTTGGGGACTATTTTCCCAAACTTCCAGTAATTTTTTTTTTTTTTTAATTCTTTATAAAATGTCACCTTAGTTCTCAAATTTTAAAAACATCTATTTTTTTTCCCCTCAAAACAGTGTTTTAAGTGTCAGTGTTGTAGATTGTAACACCTCTTGACTAGTGCTAACATTTATGTGTGTGTGTATACATATACCTATGTCTATATGTTCATACATTTTTATATACAAACATCATATAGTTTGATTACTTTTTTTTTAGGTTTTTGCTCTAGAGTGTGCGTACTTGCCAGAGAGAGACAGACAGAATAGAGAGAGGAAAAGTGAGAAATCACCTCCTGGTGAATGGCCATAGCACAATCCCTTTTCCTCCATTCTCTTCTCAGGATTTTGAGCACGCTTGTACATATACTCGATTTGATTTTCGAGCCACTAAGTCCAAGACTCTAACCATACTTGGCCATGTGTCACTAAGGTGACATTTTATAAAGGATAAAAAAAAAAATGACTGGAAGTTTGGGAAAATAGTCCCCAAACTTTTATTTCTAGCACCTTAACAACTACGCTACTTGCCAGCCCAATTCTTGGGTTACTTTTTTTTTTTTTTTTTTTTTTTTTTTTTGTGTTACATCTCGATGCACTTGCCAGAAAGAGATGGAAACAATGTGGGTTTTTTTTTTTTTTTTTTTTTTTTTTTTTTTTTTTGCTGTAGGACTTGCGCACTTGCCATGGACACAGAGAGGCAGAAAACGAGAAGTCACCCCCCTTCTCCTGGGGGATGACCACATTGCAGTCCCTTCTCCTGAACTCAGGATTTTGGGCACACATGCATATACTCTCAGCCTGAGTTTAAAGCTGCTGGGTTCAGGATTCAAGCTGCATTTGGCCATGTGGGAGTCCAGTGCCTTAACCACCACGCCACCTGCTAGCCCCAATATTTGATTACTTTATTAAAGTTAGAGACCTTTGGCCTAGCCACAGTGGCTCATGGTAGTGCCACTGTGTGCGAGGCTGGAAGTTGGATGGGAGGCCTGAATTTGGTTCTTACTCCAGCTAAACCTACCAGGAACTCCATTATCCTAGCTATTAGAAGACTGAGGCATGAGGATTGCTACACAGCAGACCTTACCGAAAATACTTGTATCTGCTTCTCTCCTTTTCCCTTTC